AAAATTTTTTTTTTTTTTTTTGGGGGGGGGGGGGATGTCAGAGCACAGGTTTTGTTTCGGAAATGCCTGTAAATGATGATAAATGGCATGTTAACGTGTTCAGACATCAGTTCAATCTGAGAACTGGAAAATAGCAGATGTAAATCTCTAAGTACCATTTACAAAATGGTTAGCTCCATTAAATAATGGTTAGCTCCATTAAATAATGGTTAGCTCCATTAAATAATGGTTAGCTCCATTAAATAATGGTTAGCTCCATTAAATAAGGGTTAGCTCCATTAAATAATGGAAAGCTCCCTTAAATAATGGTTAGCTCCATTAAATAATGGATAGCTCCATTAAACAATTGTTAGCTCATGTTTTGTAAATTACATGCAAGTTCTACGGTTGAGATTACTTAACATAACCACACTTCAAAGGTCAAGTACCGGTATCAAAGTGATAATGAAGTGAAATGTTTGTACTGTGCCAAATATCAAGGCTTTTAAGTACCATAACCACAGTTCAAAGAACAAGTACCGGTATCAAAGTGAAAAGGTTTGTACTGTGCCAAATATCAAGGCTTTTAAGTACCATAACCACAGTTCAAAGAACAAGTACCGGTATCAAAGTGAAATGGTTTGTACTGTGCCAAATATCAAGGCTTTTAAGTACCATAACCACAGTTCAAAGAACAAGTACCGGTATCAAAGTGAAAAGGTTTGTACTGTGCCAAATATCAAGGCTTTTAAGTACCATAACCACAGTTCAAAGGTCAAGTAATAGAACATTAGAGAAATGCCGGTACATTTAACACATAAAGGTGTGATTCACATGATGAAAAATTTAAGCCATTTCACTACTCCCCACCCCAAGTGAAGCCACCACATGGAGGCCATTTAACTTCCACAAATACCCCCCCCCCCCATGTCGCTTCTAAATATAGCCATAAACAAAAAATCCCCCAAGTGACGCTACTACATAGGCTATAGAAGATTGCTGTACCTCTAACTCTTACTGACGCTAGATGGGGCTGGCTAACCTTGGTCGGCAACTCATCTAAGAGAAGGAAACTCTGAACTCAACCCAGATGGAAACTCTGAACTCAAACCCCGAGATTTAGTCCCCGTAAGGCGTATACAATGAAACAATCCGACAACTCCTGCATCCGTACCCATCCCTGGACGTCTTGACACAGATGATTTTTAGTCTTACCACTGGACATGGTGGGCCCGGACGAGAGAGTGAGGTTGGCGCCGCGCAACTCTTCATTTACTTCAAACAAAAGTCACCCGCGCACGTCATCAGTCATCCCACACCGGACGACTCGATGGTCCTAATCGATCTTCGACGGACCAACAACAACACTGACGCTACTACAAATAGGCCTTTGCGCCCCCCCCCCCCTTTTTTTTTTTCGTGAACACTACTACACATGGATTTACATCACTAACCCCCGTGACCCTTCTACATATGACTCTGCACCTTACTCTAGTGACGCTACTCAATATGACTGCATCTCAGCCTAGTGATACTACCAGTACTACATATGCCTTTGCACCTCAGCCTAGTGACACTACTACAAATGCCACTGCACCTTACCCTAGTGACACTACTACAAATGCCACTGCACCTTACCCTAGTGACGCAACTGAAACACAGTCGAACCCGGTTATGTCGCCGGCTTCGGGGTTTGCCAAAAAGCGTCGAGATAACCGATGATAGAGATAAACGAAAACCAATATGGCGGCAATATATGAACATGTGCTTGACATTTCTTTATGTACACGATGTGCGTTTATAAATTAGAAAGTATATGCACGTGTTTTTGGAGTTGTTTTTTTCTACACAACAGCGTTTCCGCGATTTGTTTGATGAAGCGATCGGCATGTCCGGCATGCTATAAAATGTCCAAAGGCCTACATGTTTGATAACAACACAAGACATATGTCATGTGGGGTGTCACTTTTCCAGATTATCCCAGAATTCCGGATTCGTGAGGCTAAATATTTTTCATCTACGGATTCGCGAGTTTTATTTTCTCTCGAACTTTAATTAAGACACAAGGTAAAATAAATAAATAAATAAAATCGCTACTTCTCTTGGTCCACTGATTCAGCCGGCGGCCCTATTTGCTACCCTATTTGAGGTCATCTCCCACATACTGGAAATCTGTGCTGTGGTAACTCTATCCCAAGACTAAAGACTTAATGTGTCAAACTCCAATTTTTTTTGTGTAAATATTTAATGACGGATTCGAAGCTAGAATTGGCGACCTGTAAAAAATGTAAAACTCAAGTGATACGGTTTAATATATATATATATATATACCGACGGTTACATCCGACTTTTGCTTAACAAGCATATTATTAATTAGCTAGTTATCAATTTCTAGACATAGCCGTGGAAAATGAAGCAACTAGTAGCAAGTTACCGACCTCTCAACTAACCTAAAGATGATTTTTTTTTTTTTTTTACATTCGTTGATAGAAAATAACAACTATACAGTTCAAGTCTTTTATAGTTTAGCTCAGATTATATTACACTTTTAATTAAATAAATGTTACCAGTATTTCCTGACATGAGGACAACTCCATTCTGTTCCCATTTTCGCAACATATCCAAAAACCCCGGGGAATGAGCAGTGATGATTTCAGAAATTTTCCCCCGGGGGGAACGTCAGATTTTTCGGAGGGGTGGGGGGGCAGTGCCAGTTGATTTATTGTTGGACATATTTTTGCTCGGGGAAGGGGGCA